TGACGTATATGTGGCATATAATGATAACATAATTTGATGAACAAAAATAGATCCAGAGACAAACGGCAGGGGAGGTGGGTGGGGTTAGAGAGCAACCAAAAGAATTGTATGCATGCATATTAGCACAACCAATGGACACAGACACTGGGGCCCTGGGGGCTTGCTTGAGATGGGAATGGCTGGGGAGGGATCAATGGGGGTGGGGGGAGGAGACATGTAAAACTTTATATAAAACAATAAAAAATAAAAATTTAAAAAAAGGACAATAGGTTTGCATATACATTTTTCCAAAAACATATACAAATGGCCAATAAGCATATGAAAGGATGCTCAATATCATTAGTCATTAAGGAAATGCAAATTAAAACCACAATGAGATACCACTTTACAATAGGATGGCTATACCCAAAGATAAACAATACCAAGGATGTGGAGAAATTGGAATTTTCATATAGTCATGTGCCACATTATGTTTCAGTGAGGGTGGTCCCATCCTATATAATAATAGGGTAATATGCAAATCGACCAAACAGCAGAACAACTCTTCGCTATGATGCGCACTGACCATCCTTAGCACTGCCATGCAGGCAGGGGAGGCTACTTCCATCACCGCTGAGCTTCCCAGCTGTGAGCCCAGCTTCTGGCTGAGTGAAGTTCACCCTGTGGGAGTGCACTCACCACCAGTGGACAGCTCCTGCATTGAGCATCTTCCCCCTGGTGGTCAGTGCGCATCATAGCGACCAGTTGTTCCGCTGTTTGGTTGATTTGCATATTAGCCGTTTATTATATAGAATTTTAGAGTACTTGCTACTTATTAAAAAAAGTTTGTTAAAAAAAAATTTGCTGTCGCCCAGCCCACGGGGCTCAGTGGTTGAGTGTCAATCTATGAACCAGGAAGTCAGGTTCGATTCCCAGTCAGGGCACATGCCAGGGTTTCGGGCTTGATCCCCAGTGGGGGGCATGCAGGAGGCAGCCATTCAATGATTCTCTCTCATCATTGACATTTCTCTCTCTCCCTCTCCCTTCCTCTCTGAAATAAATAAAAAATATATATTTTTTAAAAAGGTTGCTGTCAAACAGTGTGTCATATTACTCCAGCAGCAGTAATATGTGTCTATCATCTTGTGTCTATCATGCGTCTTGATTGCATTATTTTGTCTTTGGTGGATTTAATCTTGTGTTGTTTTATAAAGTAAAATGTTTTATAGGCTTGTAGCCTAGGAGGAATAGGCTGTCCCATATAGCCTAGGTCAGTGGTCGGCAAACTCATTAGTAAACAGAGCCAAATATCAACAGTACAACGATTGAAATTTCTTTTGAGAGCCAAATTTTTAAACTTAAACTATATAGGTAGGTACATTGTTATTAACTTAATTAGGGTACTCCTAAGCTGGCCTTTGCTAAAAACGTCCTCAATCTGATTGAGGCACGTTTGCTGAGGTCGACCCCTTCCAACTCTCCCATCCACACTCATCTTGTATACTTGTTTCATCTATTCTTAAATTGATGACAAAAATACCTGTAGGATTTGCAGCTGGTTGGAAAAATACAGGTAACTTTATGCTTCGAGTAGGTACTTTTGTCACCCGTGCACGATTTGCAGACGCGACTAACACTAGCCACTGCACAATGATACTGATGACTGACTGGCTCACTCAACTCATGCATGAATCGCACGCGCCTCCCCTGCGCTGCGTATCCCGCGGCCCGCCTGCGCCGGCGGCGTCTCCCATCACCCGACAGACCGACACCCCCCACTTGTTCAAAATAAACTCGCCAGTGCCAAAAACTGACTTCTGTGCATGGGCCACTAAGTTTCAATCACACTGTACGTGCGCACCTGCACGTGGTATTTTGTGGAAGAGCCACACTCAAGGGGCCAAAGAGCCGCATGTGGCTCACGAGCCGCGGTTTGCCAGCCATTGGCCCAGGTGTGTAGTAGGTTATACCAGGTCCATCTAGGTATGTGTAAGTGCACTCTATGATGTCCACACAACAAAATCACCTAACAATGCATTTCTCAAAACGTATCCTTGTCAAGTGGGGCATGAATGTATTACTGGCAGAAATGTAAAATGGTACAGCCACTTTGGAAAACATTTTGGCAGTTCCTCAAAAAGTTAAACATAGTCATCACATGACTGAGCAATTGCACTCCTAAGTGTATATCTAAGAGAATTAAAAATATACATCAATATAAAAACTTATATCTGAATGTTCATAGCAGCCCAAATGTAGAAACAACTCAAATGTCCATAAGCTGATGAATGGATAAACAAAATGTGGTATATCCATACAATCAGCCATAGAAAGAAATTCAGCCATAGAAAGAAATTGCTACGGACTAAATGTTTGTGTGCCTCCCCTCAAACTCTGTATCTTGAAGCCCTAATCACAAATGTGATACTATTTGAAGGTGGGGCTTTGGGAGGTAACTAGGTTTATATAATTCATGATGGTGGAGTGCCCATGATGGGAATGGTGACTTTATAAAGGGATAAAGAGATCACAGCTTACTTGCGCTCTGAAACGCTTTTCTCTCTCCCCCTACCACATAAAGACAGAAAAAGGAAGCCATCTGCAAACCAGAAAGAGGGCTCTCACCAGAACCTGACTATGTTGGCATTCTGATCTCAATCTTCTAGCCTCCAGAACTGCAGAAATAAATGTTTGTTGTTTAAGCCACCCAGACTATGGTATTTGTTATAGCAACTTGAGCTAAGATAGAAATGAAGTACTGTTACATGCTACAATGCAGACGAACCATGAAAACACGCTAAGTAAAAGAATTCAGAAACAAAAGGCTACATATCTGAGTCCATTTATATGAAATATTCAGAAAGGCAAGTCCATAGAGAAAGTAGATTAGTGAATGCTAGGTGATGGGGCCTGGGGGAATTGGACAATCTCCTAACAGGTATGGATTTCTTTTTGGGGTGATGGAAATGTTCTAGAATTGGTGGTGATGACTGCAAAACATTGTGAATATATTAAAAATTGCTGAAATACACACTGTAAATTATTTAAATGGTGAGTTTTATCTCAATTTTTAAGTTTAAAAAATTATAATTTTCATCCAAATCATACTTACAAATATATATAAAATAGAAGCCTTTGAAATTATCCTATCTAATAAAGAAGGAATATGCTAATTGACCCTCACACCATCGCAAAGATGGTGGCACCCACAGCCAATGAGGGAATATGTTAATTGACTGCCCCACCCTTAAAGATGGTGGCACCCACAGCCAATAAGGAGGGAATATGCTAATTGACTGTCACGCCCTCAAAGATGGAGGCACCCAGTCCCCTCAGCCCCCCTAGGGCCTTGCCGCGCACATGCCTCCGGAGTCCTACAGTCCCCTCAGCCCCCCAGCTGCCCAGGGCCAGCCCGAGGTGCAGACAAACCTCAGATGTTGGCTGCCCAGCCGACGCCTGAGGCGCAGGCAAGCCTTGGAGCCGCCCAGGGCCGCCCGAGGCTCAGGTAACCAGGGCTGGCCGAGGCTTGCACTGCCGGCAGTGGCAGCAGCAGAGGTGTGATGGGGGCGTTCGTTGCCTTCCCCTGATCGCCGGGTCGCCTCCTGCCCCTGAGGGCTCCCGGGCTGTGAGAGGGCAGGCTGGGCTGAAGGAACCCCCACTCCAGTGCATGAATTTTCATGCACCGGGCCTCTAGTATAAAACATAAAAACACAGTTGTGGATTTTTTTCTGTCCTCTTCAAAAATTCTTAAATTTCAATGTAGCATTTTTTATAACAAGAAAAAACCTGAAACCAATCTAAATATCCATTATTAGGAAATTTATTAAATTATGATGCAGCTATCAGAAAGATTGATATATGTTAGTTGAAAAAAGCACAGGTTCAAACAGTGGCTGAAGTATGATTTAATGCTATGCAAACGTACTTGTATCTGCACAAGCTCTTAAAAGTGCTAACCACCGCAGAATTGAAATTGGAAACTCTTTTTTTTTTTAATATATTTTATTGATTTTTTACAGAGAGGAAGGGAGAGAGATAGAGAGTTAGAAACATGGATGAGAGAGAAACATCCATCAGCTGCCTCCCGCACACCTCCTACTGGGGATGTGCCCGCAACCCAGGTACATGCCCTTGACCGGAATCGAACCTGGGACCTTTCAGTCCGCAGGCCAACGCTCTATCCACTGAGCCAAACCGGTTTCGGCGAAATTGGAAACTCTTAAGTTTTAATTTTATGTCATCCTATATTATTTTAATAAAAATTTGTTTGAAAAAAAGTAATATTTCATTCCTCTTTGGAATAACAACTTCAAGTATTTAGATGGCTTTCAAACACATTAAGCATTCAAGTTATCTGTTGAATATAACATGTGCAGTATGTAAGGAAAGCTTCTTTAAACATTATTGTCTTTTACAATCAGAAAATGGATGCTGCAATAGCACAACCTACATTTTCTGATAGATTGTACTCATTATCACAGGCATCATTTCCAAACAATTTGCCACAAAGCCATTTTACAAGGAGAAAAAAAAACACTACCAGGAAAAAAGCAACTCTGCAAACAAAGAGAATGCAAAATGAGAAATTATATTTCTGATAACATGATTCAAAATTATGTATTTATGATAATAGTGATTTGTGATCTTAGATATATAACATAACCCTGATATAAGGATACTATGCCTATAAGGACATGAAAGCTATTATAATGTAGGAAGAGTAAATTTGCTAGATTCATGCATAGAAAGGTACTGAAGATACATAATAATGGGAACATCTTACAAGTATTAAATTACTTGAAAATCTACAAAAGGATATTAGCAGCATCAGAAGCCTAAAAGGTACATCAGCAAAAATAAAGGATATATATTTTATCTAATTCTTAATGTTATCAGAGAATCTGTATGATTGGATAAACACTGGAGAAATTTGCTTTGAGGTAGAGATAAAAATATCACAACAGAAATTCATACTTCTACTTAGGAAGTAATGATGGCAATTTAAGGGGAAAAAAACCTACCTGCCATTCAAACTCACTGTCTGACCAATCCCAGTATGTGCTAATAGAAGAAGAGACATCACTGCAGACACTCCCCTCAGGAAATAAATCAAAAGAAGTGAAGTCTTGATCATCTAACAGTGAATAGCAATCATCTTGATCTCCAACAGAAACTGATGAAAACAGCTCCTCACTGCATTCTGAGCTGGCAACACTTGTTCCACAAGAAGTTAAGTTCCACCTTAAAAAAAGGAACAAAAGAAATCACAACAGGAATTATAGAATCTACCCAATTTAAAGATATTAATAATAGATTTATGAGGAATGGGGGTATATTTTAGGTATGATAATGATATTGTGATTATTTTCAAAAGAGCCCTTATCTTTTAAGGCTACATCTATTTAATAATAGGGTAATACGCAAATTGGTTGGGATGCCATCACAGTAACGACCGATCAACAGGCTGTGTGCACAGCGGGTGGGCAGGGACTTGCAGCGTTGGGGATGCAATGGTGGCTGCCACTTGCCCAGGGCCGACCCACGGCTCTGGCAAGCTGCCGATGGCTGCTGCTGCTTGCCCAGGGCCGACCCAGGGCTCTGGCAAGCCACCAATAGCCACTGCCATTTGCCCGGGGCCAGCCCTGGGCAAGTGGCAGTGGGGACGGCAGCAGGGGAGGTGGGACCCGGCAGAGGGCGGCCTGTACTTCCCACATGGCAGCAGCGGCTGTAAGCACTCCCAATGGCTGCTGCCGCTTGCCCAGGGCCAGCCCGGGGCTCCAGAAAGCCACTGATGGCCACTGCTGCTTGCCCAGGGCCGGCCCAGGGCTCAGGCAAGCAGCAGTGGGGATGGGGGCGGGGAAGGCAGGGCCCGGCAGAGGGCAGCCTGTACTCTCCACATGGCGGCAGTGGCTATGAGCACTCCCAATGGCTGCTGCCGCTTGCCCAGGGCCGGCCCGTGGCTCAGGCAAGCTGCCAATGGCCACTGCCGCTTGCCCAGGGCTGGCACAGAGCTCAGGCAAGCCGCCGATGGCCACTGCCATTTTGAGGGCCCGAGGCTCAGGCAATGAGGGCCAGGCGAGGCTCAGGCAAGCCACAGTGGCTGCGATGGCCAAAGCTCAGGCAGCTTCATGGCCAACAGTGGCAGCAGCAGAGGCGTGATGGGGGCGGTGCCTTCCTCTCATCGGCCGGTCACCTCCCGCAGAGGGAGGCCAGACTGCAGCTTAGGCCCACTCCCTGTGGGGAACGGGCTTAAGCCATCGGTAGGACATCCCCTGAGGGCTCCCAGACTGTGAGAAGGGGCAGGCTGGGCTGAGTGACGCCTCTCCCCCGTGCACAAATTTCGTGCACCAGGCCTCTAGTCTATAATAAAAGCATAATATGCAAATCGACCAAACAACCGAACAGCAGAACAACCCTCTGGACAACCTTCCAGACGACTATGCTATGACACCCACTGGACCCAGGCCAGCCAAGGTGGGTGCAATACAACTGGTCAGGAGCCCGGCCATCGCTCCATGATCGCCCAAAGAGGGGGCCCAGGCCACTGACTGGTTGGCTGCAGCAGGTGAACAGGGCTTCCCTCTGCGGGGCACGATTGATCGCATGATCGCCCTGCAGAGGGAGGCCCAGGCCACCAGTGGGTGGGGCGATCGATCAATCGGAGGGCTCCACGATTGCCCCAAAGAGGGAGGCACAGGCCACTGACCAGCAGGCTGCAGCAAGTGGGCGGGGCCTCCCTCTGTGGGGCGCGATCAATCGCCCCGAAAAGGGAGGCCCAGGCTACCCCACGGTGGCGCTGTGATGGGTGGCCAGGGCCCCCCTCTATGGGGGTGATCCATTGCGGAGTCCCGTCTGGGTGGGCAGGGCCTCCCTCTTTGGGGCAATCCATCGAGGAGCCCTGGCCGGGTGGGCAAGGCCTGCCTCTTTGGGGCAATCAATCATGGGGCTCCCGGACTGTGAGAGGGCACAGGCCGGGCTGAGGGACACCCCTCCGCCCCGAGTGCACTAATTTCATGCACTGGGCCTCTAGTATTAAAATATTTATGAATGAAATATGTCAGGAATTTGTCTCAACATAATAAGGAAGGGATTGATAAATGAGTAGGGGTATTGATAAAGCACACTGCCATATGTGAATAACTATTACACTGGGTGATGGGTATATTGGGTACATTACATTAGTTTCTAACTGTGTATCTGTCTGAAAATTTTTATAATACAGTATTTTAAAAGAAAAAATGCATTTAAGTTAGGGATAAAGTAAAACCTTCATCCATAAGCAAAACATATTGCATACTGGTTATGAGTAAGCTCTGGAGTCAAACTGAGTTTAAATTCTTGCTCTGTCACTTGCCTGCTGTTTGATTTTAAGCAAAACACACCCTCTTCAAGCCTGTGTCCTTATTTTTTAAATGCGGCTATGGTGAAAAATGCATACAAAACGCTTAGCAGACATAAAAAGTGCTCAATACATGGCAGCTATTATTATCATTAAAGGAAGACGGTAGCCATTGCAGGGCAGAGAAAAACACCAACAAAGTACACAGGTAGAAGCTCAAAAGTGTTTCTTATATGCCTAGCCGACGTGGCTCAGTGGTTTAGAGTCAACCTATGAACCAGGAGGTCACAGTTCAATTCCCAGTCAGGGCACATGCCCAGGTTTCGGGCTTGATCCCCAGTGGGGGGCATGCAGGAGGCAGCCAATCCATGATTCTCCCTCATCATTGATGTTTCTATCTCTCTCCCTCTCCCTTCCTCTCTAAAATCTATAAAAGTCTTTTAAAAAAAAGTGTTGCTTATAACCAGGTAGGGGCCCGGTGCACGAATTCGTACACCAGTGGGGTCCCTTGGTCTGGCCTGCGGGAGCAGGCCAAAACTGGCTCTCCAACATCCCCCGAGGGGTCCCAGATTGCGAGAGGGCACAGGCCAGGCCGAGGGACCCCACTAGTGCACGACTGGAGCCGGGGAGGGATGCGGGAGGTTGGCCAGCTGGAGAGGGACCATGGCAGGGCTCCAGGGCATGTCCGACCTGTCTCGCTCAGTCCCGATCGGCCGGACCCCAGCAGCAAGCTAACCTACCAGTTGGAGCATCTGAGCAGCCATAGCATATCATTAGCATATTACACTTTGATTGGCTGAACTGACAACTGGGCAGTTAGCATATTAAGCTTTTATTATATAGGATAATACCCAACATTAACTAATCTATATATGAGCCTAAGCGACCACCCGACCATCCAACCCGTAGCTATGATGCGCAATAATCATCAGGGGGCAGACGCTCAATGCAGGAGCTGCTGAACTGTGGTGACTTGGCAACTGTGGTTCTCGGGTGATGGACCTGGAACCAGAGAGGAGGGAGCCCGATTTCAGGGTACGTCACCCGAGAACTGCTCTCTCGCAATCTGGGACCCCTTGGAGGATGTTGGAGTGCCGGTTTTGACCTGATCCCCGCAGGCCAGGCCAAGGGACCCCACTGATGCTCTAGTCCATAATATTTTGGTACTTTTTCTGCATGAATATATTTTTTTTTCACAGAGTCAGCATTCTGCATATATTTTAGTAACCAGCTTTCTTTCACTTAACATTATATAGTGAACATATCCCCATGTATATTACTTGAAAACATTTGAAAGCCTATACAATATCCCACTGATTAAATGTATCATAGTTTATTTAATCTTATTCCTTCAATAATATATACTTAAGCTGTTTCCATTTTTTTGGTATTACAAATAATACTGAGATAAAACATTTTGTTTATAATTATTTAACCAAATATATAATCTCTCAGGATAGATTACATGGAAGGAAAGTACTGAGTCACAGAATATAAACACTTTAAAGACCATAGTATACTTAGTTAAATACCATTCTGAAAGGCTGCACTGATTTACACTCCCCAAAGCAGTATATGAAAGTGGTCATTTCACCACAACTTTAGCAGCACTGGAATTTCCATTTTTAAAATTTTTACCTGATGGGAGAAAATATTTTTACATCAATTTTTAATTCTTTGATTACTGGAAAGATCAAAATTAAAAATATTTATTAGCTATTTTGCTACAGCGTTTTTCTCTGTGTTAATGTTTTCCTTATTGATTTTTTAAAGAGTTCTTTATGCATTAAGGATATTAACATTTCATTTGTAATAATATTTGTTGCAGGGTTATAATTTCTTTCTTTTTTCTTTTTTGGTCTTGAAATCTACAAATATGTTTTCTTTTGTAAATTTCCAGTAGCTGTATACTAGTAACGAGATAATCTTCATTGCTTTGGCAGCACCCTAGGGAATTAATTCTTAAAATAATGGTTTAGTAGATCAGATACTAATAAGGTACTAAAATAATGACTTCTGAAGAAAAGCCTGTTATTTACCTCTGATTAGGTTGTTTCTCATTCATTAAATCCAGTTTTTTCTTGAATTGTATTTTTCATTTTTTAACTCCTCCCTCTTATTTTGTATGACTAACCTTAATTCCAAAGTTCTTAATTTACAAAATTCAGGCAATCCAGCAAATTCTATGGCACCTTTTCCAATGAGCTAAAGGTAAAATATTTTATATCAGTGAAAC